AATTCCTGAGTGTAGCATGGAGAGGAAGGAGCGTCAGGACCCATGCCAAAGTGGAGGAATAATAGAAGGACCGGTCAACCGTGTTGCTGAGTACAACCTCAGCATAGCCATGCCTGGACGAGGATAGTGCAGATGACACATGGAGATGATCTAGGCAATGAAACCAAAGTGCTCGGAATTCTGCTGGGGTCAGAGTCTACCGGCACAAGTTACAGCACCATTTGGACTCTGCAAGACTGGAGCAAGGCCTTGCCCTGGGCATGGGGCATGATCTAACATAAAAAACCATGTCAGGCCCACACTTGATTCCACTAAGCAGGACCAGGCCTCCTCTTTGGCTTCATGTGTCAAAAAAGGGTGGTTTCTGCCCCTCACCACCACCCAGAAACTCTTTGTCTGCTTGCCTGAACCTTGGCTCAGCCTCAAGCCCCAACCTGAGGCTCAGAAAAGCTGGATACAGACCCAGCTCTCTGGATCCTCCTTCAGCTCTGTCTCCCAGATTCTGGAGGTCCCTCGCAGCCAGCACTCCCCAGAGCCACCCCATCTCTCATCCCACAGCCTACTTCTGTGGTGAGTGCAACACTTGGGATCAATGCACAGGGTGCACTGACCCTGGAGGTGGGAATCCATGTCATTGAAGCCTTTTCTGATCAACATTTACAGTTGCAAAAACAGCAGGCAAACTCCCGACTTTCCAAAACTAAACACCAGACACCTACCCTCTCTCTCCTCTGGTCCACCCAACACTCTTGGGGTCACAAGCTACACCCATTTAGGACAGCTTCTTCTTATCAAGAAATTGCCCTTAAGTTTTGAGAGGTGAGGAGACATTCTTTGGAGCAAATTTTCTATTTAGTTTTCAATCTTCTTCTGAAGTCAGGCAGGTCCCTGTGTTACCCCTCAGCAGGAGGTCAACTCAATGCACCCATCCCCAGCCGTGCTCCCCAGGAACACGGCTCCAGGGGCGAGCGCAGCATCCCCTCCAACAGGGCTGCCCCGGGGGGAGGCATTTGATGACAGTTTGACTGGTGGAGCGAAGCGCGACTCGTGTTTGTTTGGATAGTCAAAGGATTTGGAACAAATGTCTCCGACTTATGTTGGTTTAGATGAAAGGACTCCAGACCTTGTCACAGGATCGATGAGGTTATGAGAAACCACTTGTGCAGACCCCCTCTGCCCTCAGACTCTTTTAAAACAGAAGAAAACATAATAATAATAGAAACAACAATAATAATTATTATTTAGGTTGGAAAAGACCTTTAAGATCATCAAGTCCAACTGTAAACCTAACCGCCAAGTCCACCAATAAACCACGTCCCTACGTGCCACATCTACATGTCTTTTAAATACCTCCAGGGGTGGTGACTCAATCACTTCCCTGGGCAGCCTGTTCCACACTTGAGAACCCTTTCAGTGAAGAATTTTTTCCTAATATCCAATCTAATAATAATAATAATAACAGAACAAAGTTTTCACAACTCAGAGACGCTCACTCCTTTCTGGACTAGGGCGCATTGTGGTGCCAAGAGCAAATTCAGGGGTTGGGGCTGTAAATTTGGGGTCACCTGTGGTCTGTGTGACCAAAAGCTTGGAGAATTTTGCTGCTTAGTGCCTTGTGCTTTGTTTCCCATCCTGACCTGGCTGATAACATCTGCCCTTGCAGACCCAATGCCTGGCTGGGAGGGAAGAACAGGCTGGACATGGTGGTGCCTGTAGCAGAGGACCAGGGGGACAGGGACCGCCGCATCCGCATCCATCTGGCATACTGAAGCAGTGAATGAAGGAAAAGGAAGGAGGGGGTGGGTAAAAGAGAAAATCCCAAAGATCCTTGGATAATAAGCACCATTAAGGTTAGTCTGTCTCATGATTGTTTCTTATTAAAAAGAGACTGTACTTTATCTGTGCAGGATATGCTGTTTGGATGAGGGAATTAGCAGAGTGACTGCCTCCATATCATCTAATTAGCAAAAATGTTGATAAGCAGATACAATCACATATGATTAGGATCCTTTTAAAAAGCCACTCCATTAATTAAATAGACAGAAAGGCCGCCTCCAGCCCTCGCGTGCCACTGATTAGAATACAAATATTTACACTAATCTCACCTCCATCAGCCATGGGACACTTTTGAGTATTTTTAGTGACATCAGATTACTATTGATTTTCATCCCCAATGTCAGACCATTTTGTTAGTATCTGAAAGTGCTGCCTTCAGTTTCGGATGCTTTAAATCATGTTAAGGGTTTATCTTAATGACGCTGCTGATAACCACTGTTCAGGTCACTCGTACTTTCTCTTCAAAGAACACAGTCTGGGCTGGTTTTTATTGTTTGTACTTGAGATTTAAGATATGAAAAACATTTCTCATTTCAAAGCCTTGGTTTCTAGGGATGGGGCTGCCAGGCTAGTTTGGGTCTAGTTACTTGATGTGTGCATCTCCCTAATTTCCCTTTCTCCCTACCTCTCTTCGACCCTTTCTTTTTCCCTTGCAAACCATTTTGGCTCACAGCAGTGGCCTCTCTTGAATGGCTGCTAATCTCTGATGCCTGCTGCAGGCAGCAGACAGGCAGTGAGCAGCTTCTGTTTGGGGATGACAGGAGAAAAACACTCCCTACTTTTCAGATTGGTAGGATGCACTAAATCCAAGACAGATAATCCAGTGTGCCAGCCAGTCTGAGATCATCAAAAGCAAGTATGGGAGGAGATGCTTTGCAAAGAGACAGCACAAGGAAGAGTCACCTCCTTCCTTCTGTGCACAGCCTCACTCGCTGCAATAGATAACTGGCCTGGGACCCTCCAACAGGCTTTTCTGAAGTCCCATTTTTCCTTCTGGGTAACAGAGTAGGAACAGCAATTTCTCTTGAAATTTCTGCCAAACATCTGCAAATGGACCACGCTGGCAGGAGCTAGGAGCTGTTGGCATCTTTCAGTGGCTTGTGGGTGGTAACCCTGGATCATTCTCAAGTCTAATGGACAATCCTAAAAAAACACTAGCCCAAATAAATGAGACCCTCTTGGTGAATATTTCAAGCAAAGCACTACAGCATGAGCAAGCCATGAGGTCTTAGCTCTCATCTCAGTGAGAGCTGCTTTTCTCAGTGTAGAAAAGCACTTTGGGATGCTTTGAGAGTACAAAGCGCCCTCTGAGTTCAAATAGGCACTAGCAACTTGCTGCTAGGCCCAATTTAACTTTTGCCATTGCTACAGTACAAACAACACACAGCAGAAAAATAATTCACATAGCACAACCATTCTGTAGTTAAGATGTTCCCTGTGCAAAAGGAGGCAAAAGCCAAGATCTCTCCAAGGAGGTGAGCCCATGGGACCATGAACTCCTTCACTGCCTTGCAATTCTTTCAGCTCCAGCCTCCAGACCAGCACTGTGCTGCCTTACAGCAACCTTACTGCCAGAATATGACAAATACCTCTATACTTTTGACCCACCACTAACCAGAGAGAAAACCAGCAAAACAAAATCCTCCCCCAACACACATCAGCTCAGTCGCTTTTCTTCCTTCTCGTGTCACGTGCTTTCTAATGACATGGCTGCTCCTTGGCTTCACAGCCCCACACGTACGATGTATGTTAGGACAGCAGCCAGCTCATACGCTGTGCATATGCTCTTTGGTCTGGCCAGCTCTTGACTCCTTCCCAAAGTGTAGGATAATGGAAATGAGGGCAGGGATCTGCGACACATGCTGCCATTAGTAGCTGTTTACAACACTGGGTTACAGAGAGATGAGTTCTCGTTGCTGGCACTTCCTTGGACACCTTTTTCATGCAACAGTTCCCTGTGAGGTTATTGCATTTCCCACAAGAATGACAAATCCAGGGAACAGAAACAGATGCAGGATAACTCCAGACTGAATCATCAAAATTCAGCTCCTCAGGCTGAACTCATCTGTGTGGTGTTCATGGGGCATCCCTGTCGTACATGCATACACCTTGGGACAGACATCTAAAAAAGCACATAGAACAGAGGCTAAGGTTGTTAATGAGCTTCATTCTGGGCATTTATTTGGGAACCAACATGAGAGCTAAGGTGTTCTGGAAATGTTAGATATGGCTATAAATTCAGAAGAGATCGGGATGGTCATCTAATAATGATTTTTAAGAAAAGACCCCACTCTAGGTTTAAAAATGGCCACATAAGAAGGTACCAATGATTCATAACCTTCATAATGAAGGTCATGCAACATATTTTGAGTTTAAATTTGGCTAATGCCACCTTCAAACTGCTTTGTCCAGGAGCCTGAAGACCCTTGTGCCATTGAATTTTTGTTCCCATGCAGGCTCTTATAGACTATGATGAAGGCTGGCATTGAACTGCCTCTTAATATCAAGACACCTTTCCTGAGCATCACAATCCAGAGCATATTTTCCAAACTCTTAGGCACATTTTGTGACTCTTTCCTGAGCCTTCTCCAATTTATCAACACTCTTCCCAAACTGTGGGTAGCCAAACAGCAAACAGTTTTCCTATAGCTGCTGCTATAGGGTAATATGTCCCATAGGGGTAATATGACCTCACTACACCCCACTTCCATGGACTGCACACAAAACCACACTGGGCATCTGAGAATCCCACCTTTGGACAGGTACAGGCAAAAAATAATCTGACAAACTTATATGTCGCAGCTGTGACATTGCAGCTACATTGGGGCAACTGCAATGTCACATGTCTGATCTATGTTTAAAAACATAAGGCCAGTGACAACCAACTGCACCCTAGAATGGAGTCAGGTCAACTGAGCAATGATTGGCTGAGCCCCCTCTGAGGTCACAATCTCACTTTGTGAACAACAGGCTTAAAAAGAAAGGATGTGGTCAAGCAGCACTGTGTGATGCAGAAGGACAGAGCAGATCAAGGGATGAACTGAACATCTGCCCACTCCTGAGGAGCACAGCAGCACTAGGTGTCCAGGAATCTCTGCATGCTGATCACCCTTGGTGGGAGAGAGGTATAGGCATCTTCCAAACAGCCCCATCTTTCCTTTGAGATGGTGGATTATTATGAAGTTCTTGGACTACAAAAAAGTGCCTCACAGGATGATGTTAAGAAATCCTACCGCAAACTGGCACTAAAATGGCATCCTGATAAGAATCCCAGCAAAAAGGAGGAAGCCGAAAAGAAATTCAAAGCAATTGCTGAGGCATATGAGGTTTTGTCTGACCCTGAGAAACGATCACTCTATGACAAGACTGTTTCGAGCAGATCCCACATAGGAAGAAGTGCCACGAAGGGTCATACTGACTTCTTTGATTACCCTGACATATTCCAGGACGTCAAGGAGAACTTTAGGGAAGCCAGTGGAGAGAGATTCTGGGACCCCTTTGACATCAGAAACAACAGTGAAAATTGGCAGAGTACAAGTAGAAGACAAAGAAGCTCCAGCCTGTTTTCTGACTTTATGAAGTCATTTCTGCCATGGAATTTATTCAGTTTCAGGGAGCAGCCCATCTTCTCCTTTGGTGAGAACACAGCTGGGCGACGCGGTGGCAGAATATTGTCAACCACTACTGAAGTGATCAATGGCAAGACGAGGACCACCCGGAAAATCATCGAGAATGGGCTCATGAGAAAAGAAGTGGAAGAAGATGGCAAGCTGAAGTTTGTGATAATAAATGTGAAAGAGAACGAGAAATTGTAATGTCCCCCAGCACACACATTTAGCTGCAAGCTGTCGGACATGCTCTTATTGCTCAACGGATGGGATCTACTACAAGCAGTATTAATAAATGTTCAGTTCATGACACAACTGATGCAGATGGCTGGGAGCAAATACTTCACAGGTAAAGATATGGAGTTATGCTAAACTAGAGAGTGGGACTCTACTAACTGTCTAAGGTGATAGATAGTGCTTGTTTAGTAAATATGTACAGTACATACATGTGAAAGCAACCTTGCCTGCATGCCAGAGACCAAATTGATGAATATAGCAAGAGGAGACAGGTTGGTTGATAGATAGGTAATAGAGCTCTATGACAAGCTATAGGTCCCCTTCCCACTCTTTGGAATGCCAATCTTGAAGTCTACTAGCTGTAAGAATAAAGACTTGTGTGACTCCCATACACAACCCTGAGGCTGAGTGAAGAATATCCTCCCTTTGGTGTATGAGCAGATATATATTAATTGATAAAAGTTTTTGTACACAGGAAAGAAGATGGGAGAGTGTTGTTCAGGGCCTAGAGGAGAGGGACTGGCATAGGAAAAACCAAGGAAGGAAGAAAATGTCATTCCTCAGATGGCAGAAGAAAACAGGAGCTTCCTTGAGAATGCCCTACAAATTATGACCAGCGACTCTGATGAAAGCACCGTGTAGCTCAGAGGCTGAAAGTAGTCAGGGAGAAGGTGCAATTTGGTTCCTGGATTGGGAGGACCTATGGTTTGTTTCTGCTTGGAGTTGTTCAGAAAAGAGAGCTAAATTCAAACCATGAGCAAACAGATTCCAAGGGGCTGATTTTAGCTCCCTCTTTGTGCAAAGCTGGATGTGGGGACTTAGATGGTGCTTTACCATCCTTATTGTCTTGCTCACAGCTGCAAGAGCCAGTTCACAATGCATTTCTTGCACAGCCTGCCAGCGTGCTGCTTTCATCCTCCATTGAGCTAAGGAACGCGCTCCCTATGTTTGTGCCCTCCCCTGTGCTGACATGAACTGCTGAGCCTTGTTTCTGGCTTGGCCAGATCACCTTAGGTGTTTAAAATCTTACACGCCTCCTATTTTCTGTCCCACGCTACATTCCCTTGAGTTTCCCAGCTTGCCCTGCCCACTGATGTCTCCCTGGAGACTGGAACTAGCTTTCAGGGACATTTTCACTCTAATCCAGATTGCAATTGCTGCCTGCGTTTGGGCAGGTCTTTGCATCTGTTTCCTCTGCTGTAAAATGGGAATAACAGTCTCCCATGCTTTGAAGGAGTCTGTGAGGTAGTGATACTAGTAAAGGACTCTGAACATTAAACAGCAAGTTAAATTAGCCAGAATACTGACACCCCTTAATCAAAACCTTTTACTTTTGAAAAGAAAAATGTAGCATAAATCACCTTCCTTAGCAACTGATGCCATGCCCAGCTTAGAAAAACAGACCAAAACTCTATTTGTTATGTTAAAGCCTGTTAAAGTCCCTGTGAGTTCCTCTCCCAGTAAGAAAAAACACAGCACTAGGAGGTAAGTAGAAGTCTAAGCGCATGCTGGGTTCACAGAGGGAGGCCAGCAGTGATGGGAGGGCAGAAAACCTCGGTGGAGGGACAAACCACGTCTGCTGCTCCTCCACAACTGGGAACCATCAGCAGTCCTGCAGGCACTGGGGCTCAGAGGATTGCAAAGATTTAAGGAACTTGGTACAGAAAGACTATTTTAGTCAGAGCAAGCACAAGTAAATATTTATACTGATACTTTCTCTGTGGACACCATGTTCATGAGAGATGGCTTATTGGATTTACCTTATGCTACTTCAGAGGAAGTCCAAGGTAAAAAAAACAAAACAAAACCCAAAACAAACCACCAACAAAAAACCTGCACAGTTTGTATCAGAAACTGAAATGGTCTTTGATCAAAATAACATGCTTAGACATCTGGACCAGAGTTGCATTCCCAGCTCCTCAACCTCTTCAACTTGCTACAGCTAAAACTTTGCTTCGGTCTTGTCACTAATGGGTTATTTTTATACATACACATCAATATTCCTTGATCTGAGATAAAGATATGCAGATCTACGCAAATCTCAGACCTGTCCTGCCTTGAGTCAGCAATTCTCTCTCTTGTATCAGTATCTAAGGCAGCATCTGAGAGCAAGTGCTTCCTTTTCCCATCACTGCGTCAGAGAGTTTCCATTGCCGCTTGCAATAGTAGAGAGCTCCTGGGGCAGCTCTGGCAGCTGCATGTACCAAAATCTACTGTTTGAAATATGGGAACACGGATCAGGAAGGGACCCAGCTCACCCAGTAAGTGTGGAGTCCAGGAGGACCTGCAGATCCTCTTCCACATCTCCCTGTGCACTGCAGGGCATGAAAAATCTCACAGCACCTCCTGCAAGCAAAAGATCTGAGATTAAAAAAACCCAACCATAAAGGTCTGATGGTAAAAGAGCAGGTGAGACTGTGTTAGCAAAGTCCTGCATTCCTGTAACAGCAATAAAACTGCCAGGTGTGCCCAAACCACCCATGGAAATGGGTTGTGTCTCTGTTACAGAAAGAAAGAAACTTTGTCTTGGAAGAAAACCCTTGCCTGTCCCAGGACATGGGATCAGACTAACACCAGGCCTACCAGTGAACACAAACACCTTAAAGGAGTTTTTTAAAACTTTTTCTCATGCCACTTAGCACCTGCAGTGCTGGAGGAGGTAGCACCAGATGTCCAGCCACAGCACATGGCTGTGAGCCTTTGCCTCGCCCAGTTCCAGCTCTCTGTTCCTCTTCCAGAAATGCACCTTCCCTCTAAAAAGTTGTATTTTGGGACTTTGCCTGGTCAGTGGTGTGTCTTTCAGGCATGTTCATGGCTGAAGGCAGTTGCACACACTTGCAAGTGCAGTCGATCCACCTATGAGGACCACGGGTACCAGCAGCAGAGCCTTTTGCTTGGCTGCTGATGGAAACCAGCCCTTCATCCTTCCAGCCACCAATGGACATGATGGATTCATTTCAAGCACCAGCTCTGCTTGAACACATCACACTTGGGGCAGTTTGAAGCCTCCCATTTGACTGCAGCAAACCCAGGCGCGTGGCCCCGGCTGGCCCGTGGCTCTGGGAAGAGCAGGGAGCAAAGGCGGCTTGAGCATCGCTGCCGAGCCCGGCCAGCAGCCTGTGCAGAGAGGCTGAGTCATTATTTTATTAGCAGGCCCCACAACTACTTTAATGTGGGCTTAGGCTGCAAAAACAAAAACATACATAAAAGCATTTGGAATTACTTCATAAAATACTAAATCACAATATTAACCGACTGACCTTTGCTCTATGCAGACCTGCTAATTTTAGCAATTACAGCCAACAACTTGAACATATCAAGTGGGCAACTGTTTAACAATAATGACATCTGCTTGGAAAATCCAATTATGTCTAAACATCTTTAAATCCCCACTAGGGGATACCTGCTTTCTTTTTGCAACTGCTAGTCTCTGCCTAATAGGATTTTAAACTCGCAGCCTGCTGCACACGGTGGTGGCAGTGGCCCCTCTCCCTGGAGTGGCAACAACCGGACTGCCATCCCATTAAGCAGGGAGCGAGAGTCTCTCCTTGGACAGTGATGGAAGTGGTTTGTTTTTTTTGACAGCCTAATCTGATAGATGGGTGCATTAGCTGGATCCCTTTGCTCACCCGTCCCCCCCGCAGATACTGCTCCCCTTTGCGGCTCCCCAAGGTTACATGTGCTGGACACAGCCAGGGCTGATCTCCATAGGCTCTTTCTTGGGAAGGACCTTTCTACCAAGATGGGCTTTGCAGCCATCAGTGCCTTTTGTGGAGCAATCAACATGAGATTTCTTCCTGCAACATCATCAGACACAAACTAGTTTTGTTTTCTGGGTAGATCCCTATTTCTTTCCTCTCTTTTCTCACTTCTTTCCTCCTTTACCCCCAGCTACTTAAATCCCTCCCTGCTTCATGGGTGAAACTCCAACACTGAGATCTGTTCCTCTCTATAATAGGAACCCCTAAAAGACAACAGGTATGCACTGGCTTTTGCAGCCATATTTCAGGCCTGTAGGGTTTTCTTGCCAAGAAAAGTGACGTTAAAGTAAATGGGACCAGTGAGGAAGAGTGAGCACAACCAGACCACCCAACTCTCCAATAAAGCACCCCAATACAGACCAGGATCCTCCACTGTAAAATCCAAGGTCCTTATTCAGCCCTCAGTTAGGTTGCTGCACCCCCCTGAGCTTCACTGATCTGGCAGCTCCATGGTCCCACTCCTGATCACTCAGCACCCTGGGCTGCGAGGCTATTGTCAGATATTTGAATTGAGATACAAGACCAGAATATTTCCGTCCCTTCTCCTCCCTCCCTCTCCCTCCCTGGCCAGCCTGGCTCTTTTCTGATGGAGCGTGCAGCAAAATCACAATCACATGTTTGCAGCAGTAGGAGGCCATTGGCATGGAAGTGGCTGTGATGTCACTACAAACATTTCCACCCTATCCCATTTCTCCAGAACAGTCTCCATTTTTATGACCCCATCCTGAGATCTGCAGGAAATCAAATTGTCCTGATTCTATTTTGAGCGCTGGTGTCATGGCATCAATATATAACGATGTGGTGTCAAGCCGGAGAGGCTCAAGCATTCTGCTGTGGTGTCACAGCCGGTTTGTTTCGTGCAGCTCTACGGACTGGATTGCAGCCCTGCGGATGCTGCGCTTGCCGTGCTGGGACCGCTTGGGACACGTGTGCTGTGCTAAGGGCATGAGCTGCAGGGGCAGGCCACAGGGCAGCTCTGGCTTTCATCCATCAGCAGCTCCTGCACCCTGTCAGAGGTTACCAGCTGGGGCACAAAGGTACCAGAGGGCAGAGCAAAAGCACAGGTGTGAGATGTGCAATCCCTACAGAAAGGCACCTTGGATGCCAACCAGCCCCCAGCGGCTGCATGCGAGGGAAGGGAAGAGGATGGTTGCAAGGCACTTGTGCAGGGCAAGGGAAGATGCAAGCAAGGGAGAGAAAGATTTGGGG